CGCGTGCTGGCCTCTTCACGTGCCGGCATTTTCGCGCCATGCTCCTCGCTCTACGCTCCTCGCTGCCTGCCGCTCTCTCCACGCTCCTCGCCTCTCTCTCTCTTTCACTCTCCTCGCTCCTGGCGCCTCTCTTCTCACTCCTCCTTGCTGCTCCCACCGACCTCCTGGTCCCTCCCTTCTCACTCCTGGTTACTAGCGTCTGCCTCCCCCTTTCTTTCTATTCGACTCTCCCATCACTCCTTCCCTCTCTCTCTGCGGCCGTCGCTCCTCCCTTCTCTCTCCTTGTTCCTCGCTGATCGCTCCTCGCGTCTCCCACATCCCTCTTGGCCCTGACTCCCCGCTGCTTGCTCATCGCTCCTCGGTCCACTCACGAGCTGCAGGTTGCGTCAGCTAGCAGGTGTACCAGTAAGCAGGACTCTGCAGCCTCGAACAGCAACAGTGAACAGCAGCAGTCCGCAACAAGCAGCGGCAGCACACAGCAAACACATGCAGCAACAGCAACAATATGCCGCAGGCTGCAGTACCTTGCAGCGGCAGACAGCAACAGCAGAGGCGAAGTCCGGGCCCAACGTCATCACGAAAGCCTTTCGGCAAAATCTTCTCTTGGCCCAACGTGCCATCTCGGGCATACTTCGTTGCCGCCAGGCCACGGGTCTACAACGCTGGGATCATCGCGTGTGAGAAGGGCGAGCATTGGCAGCCCACTGCGGCTCTGCTGAGAGAGGTGTGGGAGGCGAGACTGAATCCCATCGTCATCAGCTATGAAACTGATATCTGCTCGTGCGACAGATGTGGCCAGTGGCGGCATAAGTTGTCGCTGCTCAACGAGGCGCGGGATGTTGATTCGGAGCCGAAGGACAGCAGTAACAACTTGGGCGCCATAGCGTACGAGAGGTCGTCTCGCACTTCGGCAGGGTTCCCAGGCTATCTTGGGATCGGCCTTTCGCGTGTTAGAGCATATTCCGAAGCGGGACCCAGCTGGGCAACGACTGTGATAAAGTATGTGGACGGGCACCCGTATTGTGAATTTGGCAGTGGTTTCCCAGCGCGCAGGAAGCCGCTTCGGATACCATTACTTGGGTCCGCCCTAGTTGCCTTCAGGGCTAGGATCAGCACGCGTGGCAGAGGCGAGCATTGAAAGCGGGCCTTGCCGCTGTTCAGCGAGATGTTCGCGATGAAGGTGGAGCTCAATGTCGAAAGCTGCTCAGTTAGTTGAGGGATGCGAAGTCGGAGTCCAATGCCATCTGCTGTGCTACACTACCCGGTCGCGCGCGTGCGAGAAAGGACATTTGTGGCAGCGAATTCGCTTTGGGCAGAGACCCCGACGCCCCGGGCGCTCTCGTGGAGCTGTCCAGAGGCACCCCAAAGAACCCGAGGACGGCTCGAATGGCCCGCGGGTCGCTCACCAGAGCCGTCATGATGTCGCCAGCATATCTCCAAGCCGCCCCTAGGCGGTCGACGGAGAGCCCACGGCAGCCCGAAATCGTAAAAATCCGCTGGTCGTGCTTCAATCTTCGGCTCCAAATCGCTCCAAACACAGCCCCAGAGGCTTCCCGGAATGCCTCGGAGGCCCACCAGAGCCTCATCGAGGGCACCAGACGCGCCCAAGATGGTCCCAAGGAAGCCCCAAGACAGCCCAACGGGGCCCTGAGACGGCCCAATTTGCCATCAAAACGGCCCAAGCTACCCCCAAGCAAGCCCCACGATGGGCCTAAGATGAGGAAGTACAAATGGCCCACGGGAGCCCTCCCCCGCCCAAGATGGCTCCCCATACCCCCAGCATGCCCCTGAGAGCACCTCCAGACAGCCCCCAGATCCCCAAGGCACTCCCACGAGACCCCCACCATGGGCCGTGCTCGGCTTCAACAGCCCTAATTAGATGCGGGCAATACGTCTGTCCATATCCATTGCAGCTTGGAGTTTTGGGCTCCATGTCCCATAAACCTCAGGCACACCGGATATGGAGAACACCCTGGCCCTGGAGGCTCGATCTTTATCCATATCCAGTGCGTCTCGGCCTTGCTGTGCACCTTCCAATAAAATGCACGACGCATTGGATATGGATATGCCGGCGCGCCGGTTATTCCGACACGCGGCCTTCCGTCTTGAGGAGGGCGCCTCGGCCACCAGGGCAAACGCCGCCTCGGGCGCGGTGGGCTCGCCGTGGATTTGCCGCGGTGCCGGCCCCGTCTTCTTTGGGCGTGGGGCGCAGGGCTTGCCGTCGGTTTGCCGTGGTGTCGGCGTCGTCCACTTGGGCACGTCGAGGACTAACGGCGCGGTGAGACTTGGATAGAAAACTTGACCGCCCCAGGGGACACTGGCCGCCACCCCCCGCTGGCGCCCGCTTGGGTTGCCCCTGGCGCCGTTCGGGGAGCTTCGTGCTGCGAGGTCTCGATCGCCGTGTCTGCCAGCGGGGTCGCCTGGCCGAAGAGGGCCGCTTCGCCCTGGGCGGGCCCTCCGAGGAGACGGCACCGAGTGCACACCTCGCAGATCGCAGGACGGCACTGCCCAGAGATCCGACGCTCCGAACAAAAATTGGGCGACAGGTTTCTGGTCTTTTTCGGCCTCTGGGGACCCCCCTCACTGGGCCTCGGGACAGTCAAAAAACGATTCGGGATGAAAAACCTGTCCCAGGGAAGGGGTCCAGACCTCCTGGGGTCAACGTTGTGACAAAATCACGACGTCGGGGGTCTGGGTTTCGGGCAGGCTCACCGCGAAGAGCAATTACCAGCTGGCATGCAAGCGACGCGTACGACTGACCGGCATGGAGGACGCAGCCGGTGTGTCGACATGCAGGCCGTCTCACCATGAACGACGTCCGGCGCACCTTCACCATGGGAAAGTTTACGCACCACACTGGCAGGGCATGGTCCTCCCATCCTTGCGCTCCAGCGCGGAGGGGGCCCTATGTCGGCGTCACCTCGCCATACCAATACTCCATGTGCGTCGCCCCCCCCGGCCAGCGCGACGTGCCCGCCGAGAAATCTTATAGTATATGCGCGATGGCGGACGCCTTCTGGCCACTCCGCTCGAGAAGCGATGTACTACAAGATGGCTATACTAGATGTTCAGGTCGGGCGCACGACTCCGAGGAGGACACACAGCACTAGCATGTCCTTGTGCGTCCCACTCGGCGTCCAAGGCGCAGGCGCGAGCCACCCCCCGCGGGCGCGGGAGATCACAGCTCTAACCAGGGCAGATCCCCGCCGCATGCCTGCGCGGCCGGCCGGTCGCCGCTACCGCCACCGCCGTCGGCTTCGTCGTCGCCGGCTCCGCCGCCGTCGCTGTCACCATCGTCGTCGCCGTCGTCCTCGATAGTCGCCATCATCGTCGTCATCATCGCAGGCGCCGTTGTGATCTTTGTCGTCGTCTCCAGGCGGCTGCTGACGACGTCGTCAACATCGCAGACATCCGGCATCGTGCAAAATCGCATGAGAAATCACGCGGGGAGTTTTTCGCGGCTCCCGGAGTCTGGAAGTTGTCTATGGGCCCCGGGGCCGCACAACACAAATCCAAGAACGCAAAAACGGTCCCAGCGAAGGGGTCCAGTAGTCCGAGGAGCATTTGTTATATGAAACATTGGGCGCCTGGGATCATCGTCGGTCGGCCGCCTGTTGGTCATATATCGTGGTGAGTTACGACATATTCCACGCTGCGGTCTACCGGGTAATGTTATACCATGCAGCAGGGTGTTCTTGTGTCCTGGGTATGCGATGTGGTGCCATGGCACGCGTTGCGATGGATGGCTCAGATTGCCGTTGCAAGGCACTTCGCGAATTGCTCCTGAGTGCTCCGTGCTGCTTCCGTACGCCTCCAGCATGCACGATGCCGCTGGCTGGGGCCGAGGCGTGTTCATCTGGCGAAGACGTCGGTCGACGCTGCAACGTCGCCTGGCTTGGTTTTGAATCCGAAGCCCTTGAGCCCGCACTCTGGAGCGCGCCGCCCTGTTCATTCATCATGCCTGCCAACGTGGTGATTGTAACGCCGCTCGACTCAGTGCGGACGCAAAGGTGTCCCAGGCGGTGCTTGGAGCACCCAATATGGATCAGGATTACAACGTTGCAGGTTCAAGCCGAAACTCCGCCAAGGATGACATGCCACCCTTCATGAGAGCACAGCGTGGCAGACTCAAGCCACGACTTCGTCCGAAAGGCCACCAGACCGATAGTCAGCTACAGCAGTGGGATCAGCGCCTGCAGGATGGGCGAGCAGTGGCATCAGGCTTTGGCTCTGTTGGGCGAGATGCGGGAGGCGAAGGCGGAGCACGACATCATCAGCTACAACGCTGGGATCAGCGCTTGCGAGAATGACCAGTAGTGGCAGCGTGCTGTGGTGCTGCTAGGCGAATATGGGGAGGCGCAGCTGGAGCCCGACGTGATCGCTGTTTACCGTCGTTCGCTAAACACCGGGGTGAGGCGCAGGAATATTTTGATGCTTTGTGGACCGTCTCCCCGCAAGCCTATTCCCGATGGCCACGCGCCTGAAATTTGGGCGCGAGCCGGGGCCGCGGTTGCAGCAGGCGGAGGAGGAGAAGAACGGGGCGGAGGAGGAGGAGGGAGAGGCTGTGGTCAGGGAGCTGGACGGAGAAGGCATGGGGCTTTGTGAATTTCCAAGAGCCTCCGAACGAAGACCACAATGTCCCTATGAACATCGGCGGAAGAGGAGCGCGCGCACATGAGAAGGAGGAGGGTGCCCGCGTAAACACGCTCAAAAGAGGAGAGAGGACGGGGAGGCGGAGGGGGAAAAGGAGGAGGAAACGGAGGAGGAGGAGGAGGAGGAGGAGGGAGAGGGAATGGGTGGAGGAGGTGAAGGAGGAGGAGGACGAGGACGAGGACGAGGACGAGGAGGAGGAGGAGGAGGAGGAGGAGGAGGAGGAGGAGGGAGGAGGAGGGAGGAGGAGGGAGGAGGAGGGAGGAGGAGGAGAAGGAGGAGGAGGAGGAGGAGGAGGGGGGGGGGGGCTCCCGTCCTCCCTCCTTTGGCGCGCGCGACCGTCCCGAGAGGACCTCGGCGCGGACGACCCGTTGGACCAGGACTCGTGGCACAGGCAGCTCAGCGGCAGCGCGACCTACCCGTCCAGCAGCCTTGCCTCGCTCAAGATCGCAGGCGCGCCCCCGCGCTGTGAAGTCGTCGTCATCGTCGTCGTCGTCGTCGTCGTCACTGTCGTCATCGTCGTCTTCATCGTCGTCGTCGTTGTCGTCGTCGTCGTGTTCGTCGTCGTGTTCGTCGTCATGTTCGTCGTCTTCGTCGTCGTCCTCCTCCTCCGCTCTCCCTTCCTCCCCCGCCTGTCTTCTCCTCCACCGCGTGCGCTCCCGCGCGCGCCCTCTCTCCCTTCTTCCTCTCCGCGCGCGAGGGAGAACTGGAGGAGGAGAAGGAGGAGGAGGAGGAGGAGGAGACGAAGGAGGAGGAGGAGGAGGAGGAGGACGAGGAGGAGGGAGGAGAGAGGAGGGAGGAGGGAGGATGGGGAGGGAGGAGGGAGGAGGGAGCAGGGAGGAGGGAGGAGGCAGGAGGGGGAAGGAGGGTGGAGGAGGCGTCGCGGCGGAATTCAGCGTGAAGACTGTGCGTCTGGCTGTAGCCCACAAAGGGGCAATGGCTCTCGAAGGCGCAGGGCCACGAGGAGTGTCTCAGCCTCGCCCCCTGCGGGACTGCAAGCCCACCAAAGCAGATGGAACCGCCCCCCCGAGGAGAGGGAGGAGGGAGGCAACGAAGGAGGAACAGAGGAAAGGGTTCTTCGGGCGCAGCACACCGCTGGAAGGTCGGCAAGTAGTGTAGCTACTCCCCTTTTCCTCTTTCTATCTCTCTCTCTCTCACTTTTCTGCTGTAGTTGGTGCTCTCTCTCTCTCTCTCTCTCTCCGGATTGCGGATTTTGCTGCACACGTTGCAAATTGGAGACGAGGAGGAGGGGGAAGGGGCGAGGGAGAAAGAAGAAGGCGGGGACGGGGAGAAACGGAGAGAGGGAAAGGGGGGCAACACCCTTGGGGGCATTTGGCCCCGCCCGGGCGGGCTCGTCCCTCGAAGCGGACTGCCCGCGGCGCGGGCGCGGCGGGCTCAGCTGTGCCGCTGTGCGGCGCGAGGCGTGGGTGCCAGTGGGCCATCGCCCCTGCTGCCCAGATCTGACCCGCTTCGCTCCGAGAGCTCGGCGTGGAAAAGCAGCACTCCGCAAGCTCCGCGTGGGAGGGCCTGGCGAGGCGCTCGCGCACGAAGCCCCTCTCCTCCGCCTGGTCGAGGAGGGCCTCCTTCCGCGTGGCCCCGTGCATCAGCATCGTTTCACTGACTTCTATCCCCAATCCCCATCCCAAGCCCCACTATCCCATTACCCCAGTTGGGGGTTATGCCCCTCGAAGCCCGAAGGGAACAGCCTAGCATCCCCATCTAGGGGGGTAAATCGGCCAGTGGAGCCCAGGCCACGCCAGTGGCCGAAAAAGAACAAATTAAACGGGCCCCAGCGCCGATCCAAGAAATCTGCGCGGGGCTCCGAGTTTTCATGCTTGTGCTCATGCAGTCGTTTCGTCCTCTAAGTGGGGATAGGACTCGGTCCAACAATACTTCTTGCGGATCGTGTCCGTGCGACAGCGCATCCGCGGGATCGCGCCCCTGAATCCAGACCGCCAGGGCGCGGATACGGCTAGGTGTACCGCTTGTGAATTAAGGATCGGTTACAGCCAGCACGAGGATAAAGAACATCCTTGACTGGGGGGTACCCTTGTGTTCTCATCATGCTTAGACTTTCCACCTGGGGGCACTTCTCGTCATGGGAATACCCATGGGAGAGCATGCTACGCATGGAATGAATTGAGTAGAAGATGAGGTGTTGGATCCGTGAGTGGATCAGCCTAGACAGTATGATGGTCAGAGGCTTTGATGCCTCCATTGATTGTGGGTCGGCTATGATGCCAGCCAATGCCCACCCCGTCCCGTCTCCAGGGACTTCGCATCCCCCTTAGATGGCAGGATGGGGAGACGGTCCGCCACCCCCGGCACTGCACGTACTGTGCCGGGTTCGTGGGGATTTTGTTGAATTCTATGAGTGTCCCCTCCCTCCCCTCCCCGCCCCTCTACCTCCGCGCCTGGTCCTGTGAGTGGGAAGCCAAGTAACGTATACACCGTTTTGACTCCGAGTCCCGGTGACGATCACAACCTGCAGAGCTTGCACGAGTTTGCACGAGTTAAGACCAAAGGGTTACCAGGTAAGGTCTGCAGGCGGGAGGTCTGGACCAAAGGGTTACCAACTAGACGTCTGAAGTGGGAGGTCTGGACCAAAACGTTACCGGTCAGAGCTAGCCCAAGGGTGAAAGGCAAGCGGGAGGGGAGGGGGAAGGAAGGGCGACAGAGGGGAGAAACAGAACAGGAGTGGGAGAGAACGAAGAACGAGCCAGGAGGCAGGAGCAACGAGGCCCTCCCATTCCCTTTGAATTCAATGAGTTCTATGAATTCTATGACAGGCACTGGACGGCCGGCAGGGGACTGAGTCCCGTTCACGGCCCAATCAGGGAGAGCATGCTACGCATGGAATGAATTGAGTAGAAGATGAGGTGTTGGATCCGTGAGTGGATCAGCCTAGACAGTATGATGGTCAGAGGCTTTGATGCCTCCATTGATTGTGGGTCGGCTATGATGCCAGCCAATGCCCACCCCGTCCCGTCTCCAGGGACTTCGCATCCCCCTTTGATGGCAGGATGGGGAGACGGTCCGCCACCCCCGGCACTGCACGTACTGTGCCGGGTTCGTGGGGATTTTGTTGAATTCTATGAGTGTCCCCTCCCTCCCCTCCCCGCCCCTCTACCTCCGCGCCTGGTCCTGTGAGTGGGAAGCCCAGAAAGGGGGCCCATTTTCTTGATCCACGTTCTTGTGACCATGTTTCGATTGTGAACGATGCTCAGTGCATCTGCCAGGCAATTGCCACTTCGCTGGGCAGGGGACGCCTCTGGGCGCCCCGGGCAGCAGCCGCGCCCCTCCCCGTGGATCCCCTCGGCCTGCATGGAGGGTGGCCTCGCGGCCGTTGCGGTCTGTCGGGTCAAACGGCGGAGGCAAGGAAGCCATGGGCGCCTGGCGCCCTGACAGGGTCCTTGTCGATCCCATTCGATCTCGATTCTGGCCAGCCTGGTCTGATTCGATGCCGATGCTCCTGGTCGTCGCTTCATGGGGGGGGGGGGGGGGGGGGGGGGGCGATAATGGGCCGGAATCAGGGTGCATGTTTCGGGCCCGAAAGGCCCCCTTTCGGGCCCTAATGGGCCCCTTCAGGGGCCCTAAAGGCCTCCTTCTCGGCAGCCCTTGCTGCCCCCCCCGTCTCTCGCCCCCCTAGTACGCGACGCTCAATCCTCCGAAGATCCGATGCGGTCTGATGCTTGCCTGCATGGCGCTGCTGTGCACCCTGGCGCAGCCGATCGGGTTCGATCTCGACTCCGTGCCGGCGCAGTCTGGCCCGACGCACATTTTCGGACGGGGCCATGACGAGGACAAATACGTTCCAGAGCGTTGCGAAACGCTCTCAAAGCGTTCTGGAACGCTCAGAGAAGGCCGCGGCGCCCCATAACATACATCTTCCAGAGCCGCCCGATCTCAGATATTCTCGATATCACCTCACCCGATTCCATCCTCGCCCTGGCGTCGTCGGATGAGCAACTGTTCAAGGTTACCCTTGCATCCTTCCCCCTCGGCCCATCCATGGCGGCTTGCGCTGGCCGCGCCCCGCTCGCAAAGTGTCGACATGGCCCTCCAAGGCCCTTGCATTCTTATCGTGCGTCCTTATTATACGGGTTGACTGTAGGTCTCCACCATGACTAGTCGGCGTCCGCCACCCGCGCGGCGTGCGAGGCCTGGGCCGTGGGCGAAGCCGGGCCAGCGTTCCTCAACCAACTCGCCAGGAAGTTGGCCCAGGTTCCTGCGCACGCTCTTCTTCTCCAGCGTGAACAGGAACAGTTGCCAGGGAAGCTGGCCCAGATCTCTTGAATCATGACTCTCTTGATCGTCTTCTCGGCCGTAGGGCTCCACCACGGCCGCGTGGGCGTCCGCCACCCGCGCGGCGTGCCAGGCCTGGGCCGTGGGCGCAGGGGGGGCGGCGGCGCCCTCCACGGGCGCCTGCCGCCTCGGCGCGGGGCAGGGCAGCAGCGAGCGCGGCACCCGGGCCGCGTGGGCTGGCGTCCGCGGGCGGCTCCCCAGACAGGCGACGGCGCCCAGAATGCGCTCGATGGCGCAGCCGCCCTCCGCACGGCCGTCGTCGTCGTCGTCGTCGTCGTCGTCGTCGTCGTCGTCGTCGTCGTTCCTCCTCTCTCTCTCGTCCTCCTCCCCCACCTGTTTTCTCCTCCACCGCGTGCGCTCCCGCGCGCGCCCTCTCTCCCTTCTTCCTCTCCGCGCGCGAGGGAGGAGGGGGAGGAGGGGAGAAGGAGAAGGAGGAGGAGAAGAAGGAGGAGGAGGAGGATCAGCAGAGATGAGGAGGAAGATGAGAAGAAGGATGAGGAGGAGGAGGAGGGAGGACCTCGAGCCTCTGGGTCTACTTCCTTTTGCGTATTTCTCATGCCTCAGGCCCTTTTTCTATTCCATAGTTTACGCTAGCCTCGCCAAATGTGTTCGCGCTTTGCCTAAGCCGGCTCCATGCATTCGTTTCTTAGCCGTAGAACGTTCCAGTTCCGTAGCTCCGTAGCTTTCTGGCCATGCCGTCCGCTTGACGATATATGAAAGTTGTAGTGGGGGTTCGGATTCGCGCCCTCGAGACAGGCGCGTTGTATTGGTACGGTCGGGCACTTTGACTAAGGGAGTCGCGCCGCCGGTTCTGGCCCACCACGTCTTGGCGCGACACGTTATCCACGTCCCAGTCATGGAGCGTCAACGTCCCGAGTTGCTGCCGCCCCCCTCCGCCCCGCTTTGCGCAGCGACACGCTGTCCGCTCGCGAGGCATCGCGTGTCGCCGGGGCCGCCGCAGCGACACGGAAAGCAACAGTTCCTGACGGTCATATCCACTGCCGCTGGCCAGGTCAGCGGTGGTGGATATGTGAGCCGTTTCAGAAATGGCCTCGCCTTCGGGGAACGAAGGGTTTGTCATCTCTTCCTCGGCGGGAGGCGGTTGAAGGCTGGCGGAAGGCGGCGGAAGCAAAACAAGGCCGCCTAAG